TTGAAAATATGAAAAACTTTTATACAAATATAAATTATATATTACGAATATACACTTGTATTGAATCGCATTACAATTACAATTGAAATTGTATAATATGCATATCCAATTACCAAAATATTGTTACATAATAATTTAACATTTTATAAATGCATTTCATACATATTTTGAACATGAATTGTAAACTTTTTGATCTACAACATTGTCAAAATGTTTCATAATGAACATTTTAAAAATCTAATACTTTAAACGAAAATACTACTTCATTTCATATCTGTTGAAGATTTTTTTAGATGTTCATAAACTTTGGCTAATTTCTCAGAGTTTTGAAATGTGAAAAGATTTTTTCGATTGCTGCAGAACTTGCTGGGCAATCTGAAATTACTTATCAAAAACCAAAATAGTACGCAAAAATATTTTTATATTTTGGGCATGCTTGCATTAATAGCCAATATTGCACTGGGGAAAAGGTTTTCTTTTTTTTTTAACAGAATCAGAATACATCAATGGTAGGTAATAAACTGTCTTTGAAAACGCTAGTGTCATTTTGCATGGGGCATACAAAGGGCATCATTTCATTTTCGAAATTCATAATTGCTATTTATATTAATTTCAGTTAGCTTTAATTAAATATAGTGTATTTGTAAAATTCCGTTTTTAATCAAAATCCTATCCATTTCTACGTCACTATAAAGATATAACATGAAAATAAAAAATCTTATAACTGACTTACTCATACCACTTGTTTATCTGCCAAAATTTTGTGAATAATTTGGAATAGACCATGAATATTACCTATCATATGTCATTGTCCAGCTTCTACGTTTACAGGCGATAAATATACATTACATATTCAAGTAATATAATATTTGATTCATATAACAAGTAGGAAAGATGGGAGTACATTAGAAAAATTAATAAGTAAATCTTGTTTGTTAGTAGGACCTAATTAATATAAATATGTGTTACGGTTTTAGATTTACATAAATTAATGCAATAAAATTAATAAACACACATCTTTAAATCAATAAAAAATAATTTTATAGCAATTTCAATTAAACACGCCCCCCCCCACACACACACACACACATTAAAAAAAGCGTAAACCCAGTGGGATAGGTTATTTTTAAAAAACCCGTTTTTCCAACCCTGGAAGATCTGTCAGATTTAGTTGCACCTTTCAATAACGATAATAACTTGAAACTTCGCTAGTGAAAATAACTCCATTGCTGAATTTTTAGCATTGCTAATTTTCTAAATCGCTTTATTAAAAAAAATTAATTACTTTTAAAAAAAGGTTTCCTCTAAAATAGGATAATTAATAAAATTGATGAATTCAATTTCTGTAATAAAGAATAACAACAAACTATTAATTTCTTCGGTTCGTATACTCCCTTCAATTACGGAGTGAATACCAGTCCTGGAGACCCAGTATACACAATTGTATACATAGCTTTTTTGAAAAAAATAAGTCCCAAAATTACATACTGATATGGATACTTTTATTCAATCAGAAATAATCATAGTGAAAAAAAGACATTTAAATTGTTAATAAAAATAAATGTTACGTCTGAAAGAGTTCAGAAAGATATTTCCACTTTGTGAGTGATGCTGACATCACAATTTACTAAGCAGTCAACTATGTCATTCGCAAATTTTAAAAAACTTGGTGCTAGTAGGTTTCAATATCAACATAATCTAAACAAATAATTTACATTATTTTGTATAACTGATAAATTAAGTTACAAGTTCAGGGAAAGGAGAGTAAATGCAACATGTAAATCCTTAAAGATCCTTTATAAGTTTTATTCAGTCAAATATATTTCATGTATTACTGATAACAAAACATTTTTTATTTCTGAGAATGAAAAACATTCTCAAATATAGGTTTGGGCCCTGTAAACAAACTCACATTCAAATTGAACATAAAGAGTTTAGAATTCATTAAAAATACAACAGTAAAACAGGTCAAATATATAATTATTTGCATTTGTGTTGTTCACAAAATTAACATGAATTGAACATTTTAAACACATTTAAAGAAACTACACATTTACAAACATGTCAGCTAGAATACAATGACAGCAGAAAGCTAAAGCTTTACAATAAACAGGCCAAACTCAGGTAGATTAGAATTATGTTTAAGTATATAATAGTGATTTTTATTCTCCTGAGTGTTGCTTTCGGGAACTTTGAAAAATAAATTATTTAATCTTGAGGAATTATGGATTTCTTCAACATTCCCTCTGTGATTAACAGAGGTTATTAAAAAAGAACAATGGGTTAAAACAGAATTTATTAGCATAATTTTTATGAATTCATCTGGGAAGAATCAGATAAAAATTTGGTTAAATATATCATAAATCATAAAGAAGTTTGGATTTGTTTTCTTCATAATACTGATCAGAAGAATATTGATTAATAAATGTAGATAATTTCACATTGAGTTTTTCCATGATTGAATATTATGTTGCCCATTTCTTAATAAAATTCAAAACACTTACTGAAAGAACACATTTTATCATAAATTGTTCACACTGGGGAGTTCACCAACATCTGCAAAATTTTAATTCCTTCTTACGTATATAATTTGAGGTGGTAAAAATGGGCTGCTTCTAGGAAGGTGCCTCATGCTCAAATTACTTGATCTCTCTAGCATGCACATGAATGTAGACTAGGATGCATCCCTGAAGCATTGATTGGAGGTTTTAATCTCCAACCCAAGACTCATTACGAATAGTATTAAGACAATTCAACAGTTCACTTACTGCAATATTTTTCCAACTGTAGCCAGATTTCTTCAAATATTTACTCTGATAGATTATTTAGTTCTAGCCTCTTCAATCCTTCACAACTTATCAAGATATTAGTGTTCTGTTAATTTAGGTACATATAATCTAACTATGCATTTTAGTTTATTACTAAAATTTAGTAATAAACTAAAACGCGTAATTATATTTAAAATAAAAAATTCAAATACTTTTGGATATTTAATTTTAACAGTACTGATTGTGCTTGAAACTGATTTGAATGGATCAAAAATGATGAACATAACTAAATGTTTGATAACTGACGGGAATAAAATTAATTACACAACTATGTTAACAATTCTTCCAGGTATTTCTAAGTATAAAATGAGAATCAGAGCTTTTTAATTCTATGTTTATATGGATGTGCAGGACTCTATTTTTTCTCTTTGTTTACCCCCTAAAGTTAAAATGTAAACAAAATTTATGAATTCTTTCATGAAATTTATGTACCTTGCTTTTTAAAATGTATGTAAATTACTAGCTGCTAATTAATATCATCTTCATCTATAATGGATCATTTAATAAGTACTACTTACAGAATTTATTCCTGCTTAAACAAATTATATGTTGTTTCAACTTTAGTTGTTTCGATAATTGAAAGAAAATTACTAACATCCTGGAGTCAAAAAATGTTTCTAAGTTTAAAAAGAAACTGTTTCTAATCACTTGTATTGACACCTAGATAAATGTAATTTCATTGGGGGGGATTGCTTTTGAGAATGCTAAGAGATGCACATGTGGAATTGAACTTGTGAAATTTTAACAAATCTTCCTTTACAATGAGTATTGAAGATAAATCAGAAAAAATCTCAAAATTTCATTCCAACTTGGGAAAAACTTAACAGCCATGCTTGACACAATGCCTGACCATTTTGGCCACACTCCCGCAATTTCTTTAAGATCAATTTAAAGTTTAACTGCAATATGGTATGCACAGCTGAGAGATTAACAAGTCAATTTGGCAGATTGTGTTTGCTGGCTAAGAACATAAGAGGAGAGTGCTTCACCCCCTGACTGTTACTGAAAAAGCAATTACTGTATTTTTCAATTAGATAGTAGCATGAAAAATGAGTGTTTATCATCGTCTTCAACTAAAATTTTCTCTAAACCAAATTGTAAATCTCATTTCCTGATTAACTCCTCAAGTCATATGAAATGATGTGCTTTTACAAAAGGGTGAAGTGAGTTTGAGTTAGAATTTACTAGATAAATTATACTTCTTCTGGCCTCCCGCAAAATATGATTTAACTTTTATTCTCTTGTGCTAACTTTTATATACATCTCACACAACATGCATTGTGAGGAATCATCATTCCTCTATGTATCTCCTTCATCTACATTACACATAAAACATCATTTAGAATTTGGAAATATAAGTTATCAGTCCATTCGTACACACACAAAACCAGCACCTATTGTAAAGCAGTAAGTTCCAGAAATGCAAACCACATGCATCACTGAACAACAAACAATAAAAGGAAATTCCAAATTGATTGAGGCTGCCGTGTACCTACAATTTCTCAGTAGGCAGACAGTAACCACACTACATGTGGCAAGAACCAGTTCAGGAATACTTGAATCTACATAACCTAAATCAATAAATTAATTAAGTAGGGGTGCAATGCCTAGTGTTGCGTGACTTAGCATATAAATAAGCATTTTGTTTGTGCTTTATATGAAGGTCAATGAAGTAATAAAGACAACTTACAAGTGTCCATAAAAAAAAGTTTAAAGACTGGAAGATTTCTCCACTGCCCCTTCCACTGAAATTGAAAACCAAGAGTATATGGACATTAACACCCCACTTCATTGCTGAGATAATTCCACACCACATCAGCATGATCACTGCCTTGTATTCTCAATACACAAAACAAAGTTGAGGGGCTAATTAAAAAAAAGTAATAATAATACAGGCCCGTTTAAAACAACGCAGTCTCCCATCCATCCTTACATTGCGCATCCACAACAATTTCCATAACATTAATAACATGAAAAAAAAATAAACACTAATGTTTTCATCGTGTGTAGTACACTCGGTAGTAAAGAGTCTTGGAGCGCCACAGGCTGTAGGAATTGTCGAACTTCAGCAAGTACACTCCCTGGCCAGGGTAGACATGACTGCCAGCATACACCTCCTCCTGGCAGTCGCGCCGGTAGACAGGCACAATGACAGAAAGCGGCGGGCGATTGCTGGTGTCCGCCCCGCTCTTGAGCCCAGCCAGTCCACCACTCCCAACACCCACACCGACCCCGCCGCCACGCTCAATGTCATCACCGCCCAGCTCTGGGAACATCGCAAGACAGAGAAAAGACATTCAGTCAGGAATATGGATGCAATATTGTCAACAAAACATGATTGTTCAAAATTAAAGCACCAATGTTAATAACTATTAGTCTCCTTGTTAGTGAAAGGGAATCAATTCTGTTTTCCTCACTCCACTGAAAACTGATGGGACTTCTTGTAATGACTCAGTCAACTTTCAAAAATTTCTATTGGGTTATCTACAGTCCATTTTCACACAGAAATTGTGCCAATTAATCTTGAGAACACCTCTCTAAATGTTCTGAAGTTAATAGAAATGGATAAGTTGAAATGGAAGGTTGTTGAAAAGAAATTACTTATTATAATTTCAAGCACTTGTAACACATGTTCACAGTAGAATTAACTTTACATTCATTATGGGACATAATTTCCAACAGTCATATGACAACTTAAAGAAATGATTCTAACCATTGACAGAATTTTATTTGTTTATTATACTATTTACGGAACACCAAATAAAAAAAAAAAGAACACACGCATACACACACCCATGCACACCACACACTCAATTTTTCAAGGAAAATTTCTGCATAGAACGAGGTTTTACTGTTTAAAATTATTTTAAAGTAAAATTTTGTCTCTACTATTAGGAAACTAAAAATTGTGAAATATAAAAAAAATAGACTTTGCTGGTAAAAGGATGGGACAACACCTTAAAGGTGGCCCAGACCAAAGAAATTCTAAACCTAACTACAATGAGAAAGTCTGTGCCATTCTGCAACACCACTAGTTTGCCACTGTATTACAGTTTTGCACAATACCACACACGTAGTTTGCAAGAAAGTAAAAAGGCTTAAAACTTAGGTTCCCAATGGATTAACTCTCCAGATATTAGTTTAGGACCTATTAGTTTAGGTCATGGAAGACCATGCGTGATGATAGGCTACAATGGTGATGAGCAGGGCTCGGATTAAGATGATCTAAATATCCTTTTAAAATTACTTAAAAATAAGAGGAAATTGGCCTTAAAAATAAAGTGAAAATTACCTAATTCTTTTTTAAATACAGTGAAATCCAGCTAATCTAAACCCCACAAATCCGAAATTTCAGATAATCCAAACAAAATTTGGAATAGAGGAAAAAATTAACAAAATAAATAAAACATCTGTAGTGTAAAGAAAGGATTTTGTAATTACCAAAACAACTAATTATTAAAGCAAAAATTGAAATGAAAGATTTATTTGCACTGGTAACTGCGATGTATATCACATGTTTATGTAGCAGTAAATTTCACTTAGAAAACTTGCAAAATCTGTGATCTTTTGTTCTAAGAAATTGAATTTGCAATGCGACGATGTGATCGCTATGCTACCTTGCTATTTTCTCACATCACACACTACATTGCATTGTGTTTGGTAATTCTATTGGTGTATTTGTATATGTATGGTTTTTTCGGATAATACAAACTGATCACACCCCCTATTAGTTCGAAATACTGATTTCTACTGTATTCAAATTGTATGAAAATGTTTAATCAACGAATTTTACAATTTTAAATAAAATGTATTTATATAAAATTAAATTGAATATAAAGTCTTTATTTTAGAAGGAAATGTAATCATTAGCTCCAATCTTCTAACTGTCAATTTTGAAAGTTTGAGGAAGTTGCAAAAAATTCGTGTAATTTTGAGAGTTCAAAAAACAGAGTCCTCTGCAGTAGTGAATTTCGTCATGAACTGATAATGCAATGAAAACTTTGTTCTGGTGTGTCAATGCAAATTTACAAAACATTCACTAACAAAAAACTGGAAAAGGAAACAAAACGTGTAAAAATAACAAAAATGATCCTAAGTTACAAAAAATGACACGGGAGGAAAAGTTCATATTGTGTGCAGTGTGAAGAATTCATTTCCAAACTGCTGCATTTTTTCCCCCCTCCTCTTTCTCAGAAGTTATCAACCTTAAAGTTACTGTAAATAGCATTGTCAGATGGAGAAAAATTCATTTTGAAAGTAATTTCATTTCTTGAAGTTGGAGGCTTTCCGGGAAAATATATATACCTTCACTATCATCATCATCCTCCTCCTCTTCATCTTCACTTTCAGAGATGTGAACAGACACTTGGTTGGTTGTAGATTTGGTCCACTCAAAGTACACTCCAAACCCAATGTCGTAGCTGTCTGTAGCAAACTCCCAGAAGAGGCATGTACCATCTTCATGTGTTGGAACACGTACCTACAATTTTCAACATCATTGTCTTTGAAAATCATATCTTGCTCATTTTCAAAATGGAATCAATATTATTTATTACTAGTAACTTGTTTCAGTTTTTTTTGGTTAACACTTCTGTTTTCAATTTCTGTAATTTTATAAGCTGCCCACAATACAAATCATACATTCAAATCTTTTTATGAAGCAAATGAATTAATTTTCATTTTCAACACGATAAATTTGTTAAGATGTAATTAAAATCTATATTGTAATGTTGAACAAATAATTGCTACAAAGTTATAGTTGTAATTATGGCCTTCCTTGTAAAATATAATTAATTTAGATTTTAAATAATTTGAAACAAAATAAAAATAATCGAATAGTGAGTTGTATTGCTGGCAAAAGTTTTATGAAACTTTCATAATTAATTGATAGTGCAAATTTTTCTATCCTATGATGAAAAGTATACCACCTAAGAAATATATTAAGTACTCACCGTTACTGTCTCACCATGTCCTACTTTGATGATGGCATCCCCTCCTTCTTTCCTTATTGATTCTTTAAATTCTTTTATATCTTTCCTAGTCCACATTGAAGCAGTAGTGGTAGCAGGATATTCACCTAGAAGATAGACAAATTAGAATATAACACACTTTTTTGTTTGTTTGTTCTTTTGTATTTTTTTCTTTTAGTTTTACAAGAGATAGAATTTTAGGTTTCTAAGAATTTCAAAAATAAATACTGTACTTGTTTTTTCCCCTTCATAATATTCCTGTGTACCTATGTAACAAGACAACAAACCACTTACCCTGAGATGTTTCATCTTCACTGTCTTCATTCCTGTCTGGGCCAGCTCCTCCACTTCCATTGCTTAGCAGCCGGGTTTCCTCACTTGCTGCGTCCAACATACTGCCGTTAATGTGGTTGCTATTGCTGTTGTTGTTAGGACTAAGTTGTTGGCGGGTTTGCTGCTGATACAATTGTTGCATGTACTGGTGGTAATGCTGCTCTTGTAGTTGTCGGATAAGGACCCCTTGCTGCAACAGAGTACATATGTGACTAGACATATCTCGCAGAATCACAGTGAGTTCCAGAGAAACCTGTGCTGTGTGTTAACTACAAATTGCACATTTTCAAAGTATAAGGGTGATAATGTGTCATTCCATCATCTTCTGCACTAGATGACTTTTGAATTCAATGAAACTGCAGGCAGTCTAAGTCAAGACATTAATGGGGATTTAATTATGACTGCCAAACCAAGAATCATGTGTTTTGTCAAATGTTTCCCATCTGACAGGAAAGAAACCCATTTAATATAGATTCTGGCTCTGGTCACACATGTGGATATAGGTTATGCAAAGAACCAGGCTTTATATAATAGGAATATCTAATCATACCTCAAAGAGAGGTGCTTATCATGCACTGGAATTCTGAGTTATTTCTCCGTTGAGATATTAATGTCTATTAAAAAGAGTGTGCCCGAGTGACAATAGCATCAAATCATTAGAGATGCCTTTTTTTTTGGCATTAATCAGGAAACAAATGTTAATTACAATATGTCACTATACTATTTACTAGTATTCAACATAACACCATTTCAAAGCAGGTTTAACACCTTTTAAAGAAATTTGAATATAATGAACTAATTAATATTTAAAATATCTTTAAGTGACATTTCAAATGTGGATTTAGAAAACAAAATTTTTAATATGTCAAGAGAAAAATACTCATTTTAAGTGAAGAATAAAGACAAGAGCTGCTTGTACTACCATGTGGCATGTACCACTCAATATATGTCTCACTGCTCAGTTTCATTTGCTGCATACCTGTTCTGGATTGCCGGGATACTGCTGTTCTGCGTAGGACTTGAACTGATGATAGGTTTGTTGGTTAAGCGCCTCTTGAACTTGCCTCCTGTACAGAAAGTGCTTTATGGATACATCGTAGCAAGCAGCTTCCTCTCCCACAAAACTGGTTGCCTGGAAACAGGCTTTAAGCCTGCTAGCTGATAAAGCAATTGCCAATTATCGGCTTGGTTAACACAGGTGCTCTGATAGTAGATAACAAACCTCTGTTCCACTCAGGATCTTGAGGCAGCCTTTACTCCAAACCAGCCATGAATACAAGAACACTAAACTGGTAAAAATGTTTTTACTTATTTTTTAAGCAATTTCTAATTTCGAAAGAATTTAAAAAGTAACAAACTATGAATTCAAACCTCTGATTTAATTCCTTATCAGAATAGTTGATTTTAGAATAAATATGTTCTTCATAAGACAACTGTTTTTCAGGTTCCTTTCGGCTCCAAGAAACACGAAAATGCTGCCTCACCTCAAATTTTTCATTAAAAATAAATTTTACCCAGTACAGTAATTAAATTCCCAATATTCTTAGATTGAATAATAAATAGAATAATCAAGAAATATAATTAATAAAGACAATTTCAGACCACCAATAATTGAGCATAAAGTGCAAGTACTGTAATGCAATATATCAAAAGAAAAGAGAACTTTGACAGTGCATCAACATTTGTATGTTTAATACAACCAAACACCAAGGAGCTGACAAATAAAGAGAATGACACTGAGCTGCTTACATTACATGTTTAGAATACAGGAAAGAATAAAATTGCCACAGATTTGAATTTGAAACAAACCATTGCCAAAACCAAAGAAAATTGATTTTGAAGTAATTTGAAACAAATGTAATAGAAAATTGTACTGAATTCAGTCTAAAACAAAATCTGATTTAGATTTTGTTCATTTAATTATGTGATTAGCAATCTTTAACTAAATCTTACCCCAAAGTTT